CCCTGCACTCCTACCCCACAGTCCCCCACCTACCCTGGTACCCCTCATTCTCAAGCCAGGCCCCACAGCCCCAGAACCTTTCACTCCCGACTTGCAGGCCCCTGCTCCCCTCAGCGTCTCCCAGCCGCCCTGCCCCTACGAGCAAGGGCCCAGCCCTAATACTGCCAGAGGCTACGCAGCTCCCCGCTGCCCCCTTCATCTGCTGAAGGGGCAGCTACCTCCCCCCTGGTCCCTCTACAGCCCCAGTGCCTAGACAGCTTCTCCCAGCGCCAGCAGGCACCTGCTCCCCAGACTTATCTGCATCCAGCTGCCAGGGCTGCTCCCAGCACCCTGCCTGGCTGCATGCCGGCCATGTGCATGTGCGCACCCTCCCCCCATTTCCCCCAGCCCCAAGCAGCTCTTTGCTCAGGTAAGCCAGGAAAAACTTTGATGCTGAGCAGAGCAAATTCTGGAACATTTATCCATATTTTAAACAACTGTCCAGACAGAGATCAGAGGACTCAAAAAGAAGACATGTCCAGGAAAACCTGGACATACGGGAACGCTAACATAAATGCCATACACTGCTAATGTCCATTTCTAGAAGCCATGGCACATGCACCTTCATTTCCATCTGCCAGAACAAACATCCCTCCCAACCCCAAAATCATGGAAGTACAGTACAGCAAAATCGTGATTCTCCTGTACCCACAAAAAAGTGCCATATCGAAAGGTGTGCATGAAGAGTGGTTGCTCCTGAAGGACACAATCCTTGAAGCACAAAGGAAGTCCATTCCCATGAGAACAAAAGGTAACAGAAGGGCTGGGAAGCCCTCTTGGCTAAACAGGGAAATCACAGTCCTCTTAAGAAAGAGGCTTATGAACAATGGAAGCTTGGAGCAGGCCCCAAGCAGAACTATTCCACAATGTCCCGCATTTTCAGGGAACAAATAAGAAAGGCTAAAGCAGCAACCAAACTTAGATTAGCAATGAAATCAAGGACAACAAGAAGTCCTTCTTTAGGTACACAGGGAACAGG